TTCCCTTTTTCTGCCTTGTTATTCTCGCTTATGTTGGTCCTTGCTTCGGAATCTAATTGTATGTTCATAGAGAAATCAAATATATGTATCATATACCATATATGGTGAAGTTTTTCTTGTGTTTTGATTAGAAACCCGAAACCCGAAAATGATCAAAGGTACCGTTTTTGGGGGGAAGAGGCGTTTCTATAGTCTCCTTGACGGCGGCGGCGGCTGAAGAAACTATGCCCTTCTCCATAGCATCTTCGGGGATGGATTGTCCGGTTTCTTCGGCATTTCTCTCAGGAACAACGATGGCGTTTGAGACCTTTTTCTCTGCAGCTTCTTTGTTCATCTTCTCCATTGTATCCTCTTCCGCGACAAAGGATGTTGTGATGCTCACGAGAGGAAATATCGTAATTCTTGAAGCTTGGTTGAATATGGCAATGGCCGCTCCCACTGCTGCAATCTCCACAGGCCCTGCACATATCAAATATATCGATCTTGGTTGGATTTCACTGCGTTTCTTGATTATATATGAAACATTGATTATATATCACATATATAAACGATGCACAACGTTTTTCTTTTCGTAAAAATATCTCAGCTTTCGGTCCGACGACCGACAATACAATGTAATGTTCATACCAATGTTTAACAAATACCGGATTAGTTCAACAAGATAGAACCCCGAATAAGTGAATACGAAAATCCAAAAGACCGAGAAACGTACCTAAACGACCAATAAAAGCAGTGTCGATGAGAGAAGCGATAGGGTCGGCGGCTAATGCCAACGCAGCAGGAAACGCAATGCTTAGAATCTCACGTCCAAGCGAATCCATCTTGAATACATTCCTGTAAATTATCACAATCACAATCACATTATGTATGTATGTATGTATGTATGTTTTACTATATATACACATATTCATTTATCTATATATATATATATATATGTACATGTTCGTATACTGCACGCACCTTGAATCTCTGAAGAAAACAAGAAATGGCACCGGAGAAAGGTAGCTCCGGGTCATAGCCACGTCAGCAATATTCGACATTTGGCTAACGAGATCAAGAATCAGAGAGAGAAGAGTTTCTTGAGTGAAGAATAGTGGGTTTACGTATATGTTTTGTTTGTGTGTGTGTGTGAACGTATGTATATATAGGGACAAGTAATGAATGATTCATTTCGCATGTGTTTACTTCCCCAGCTATTCCGTTCCCCCGGATGAACCTAAAACTTTGAATTCACGTACGGACGGTCCATTTATTTATAATATAATATATACACATACTGTATGTGTGTGTGTATACGTCATATACAAGCGTGACATATATGTATGGACAGGCATACAAAACAATGCATATAAAATAAATGATTAAAAAGAAAAAAAAAACATTTTTTGTTCATTGTTTTAATAAATCAGTAAAAATTATATTTTTAACATATACAACCAACTGGATTTGGACCATGCAATTTCGAATTGGATACGAGACAAATGAAAAAACGTGTTTCGTGATTTTAACCATAATAAATATATGATTATACAATAATTAAGAATGTGAATATAAAAAATATTATACATTTATTGTACTTCACTTTTAGAGACGGCGTCGATACATATAACGAAACCATTAAGGTACAACGCTAGATTAAATGTTTGATAATACTATATTAGATTTATTTTAATTATAAAAAATAAAGTATAACCAATTTCTCCCAAAAAAAGCAGCTAAATTGTTTATGAGATGCTAAAATTTTAGGGCCAAACCTTTATCTTCCTCTAAAGTTGCCTAAACGGCAAAGAAAATATTTCAAAGTGTTATTTAAAATATATTCATATTTATTTTCTTTTCAGATATTTGGATTAGGGAATCATGACGTATTCGACCTTTCGGTCACATACAAATCAGTCTCAAATATCATTTCCTAAATCGCTCATTAATATAAGAAATAAATCGGTTATAGTTATCGTTCTAAACTTGCAATTTTAATCACATAATATTGAAAATACATGAAAAATATTCGTCTTAAAATTACCATCTACTCAACTAAACTTTTTCTTTTTCTGTTTCACAAAACAATTTTAATATTATATATATATATATCGTCGAAGCTACACCAACTAAAACTTCTCTGTTTCATAGTTACGCAAGGGGGTTATTTATATTGGGGTCTAAAGTGATGTGTGAAAACCTAATACTCAACCAAGATTCGGGAGGTTACGGCTTAATGGGAATGATTTTTATTTTGAGTTTTTAGATTTTAGTTTTTAGTTTTGGATTTTTGGATTTTGAATTTTATAATCTTTGTAAATCCAAAAAATATAGGCTTTGAATGGTTAGAGTTTTTAGAATAAAAAAACAACAAAAAAAAAACTATCATTTAAGTTTTTATAAAATTACTTTTTCTAAAAAACTTGCAAATCCATTTTGGCAAAAAAATCAATAAAAAACCAAACTAAAATTTTTTGGGTTTACAAATATTATACAATCCACAAACAAAAAACCAAAAACCAAAATTAAAATCCAAAAACCCATAATAAAAGTTATCCACATTCAAAATCGTAGTTTTTGGTTTTATATTGATTTTTTAATCAAAATGTCTTTCCAAGTTTTTAACAAAAGTAATTTTACAAAAAATTTGAATGTTAATTTTTTAGATTTTTGGATTTTAAAAACTCGAAAAACTCCAGCGATTTAAGACCTACGTTCTTCCACGATATTTAAAAAATAAATAAATTCACATGAGTTTATCAAATACCATCTCTTGTTTTGCCAAAAAAAAATAATATCTCTTAAAATTTCCAAAAATAAATATAAAGAGATTTTTAAAATTTTATTGGGATTTATATTTTACTTATATTTGATATTGTAGAAAATTTTAAATATTAGGATTTTTTTTGGATGATCCGCAAATTCACCTAACCTTCGACCCAACTACATCTGTTGAAGGTCCAGAGGAAAAATCGGGTAAATTACCACCTTTCGACATCCGTATCCACAAAATTATGAAATTATAAATATTATTTTTCTGTCATTTGTGTAAACAAATAAAACATAATAAATTAAAGAGTTACAAATATAAAATATCTCCCATACTTATAGTTCTAATCAGTTTTTCAAGTATTTTTCCAGATTATACGGCTTAGAACAAGTATACTACTATATATACTTGACACGGACTTGTGTTTTTTTCCTAGTGCATATGTGCAATTGTGTTACGAAAACAATTGGGGCCTCGTCTTCCACGCAAGATTGCCGGCTTTTTTTCTGCGGTTGCCACATATACCACCTCATAATATATAATGATCAACGAACATGTATATTATATTTATCATTATCAATATGTGTGGTTATACATATAGGCAGCTTCGCCTCATAATCATCCCATAAGAAGGGTTGGGAGAAGGTTTTCATCACAAAAGTTTATTATAGGCAAACCTTATCTTATAGAATATTGTATAAGATTGTTGTTTTTAGAACTCAAATCCGTTATCTTTAGATTACAACTGCAACACTTTAATCGGTGCATCAAGGTTCTCCTTCCATATACATATATATATATATATATATAATGATGGATTTACTATATATTTACTTTGCTTTATAGACAAAAAATACATTGAAATATCATTATCATACGCCCAAACAAAAGGCATGAAAACTATTTTGGCATCTATTGGTAGGGTTTATATGTGTGTGTACATATATATATATATGTGTGTGTGTGTGTGTGTGTGCGTGTATAATTATATTGTGAAATATAAATGCGCATTCCCAAAAGAAAAAATAGTTAACATGAATATATGTGCATGGCGTATAAGGGAGAGTAAAGTTGATACTAAAAGAACTTAGAGATCTATGCAAGTTAAAGGAGTTATTGTAGGACATACAAAGAACTTGGGATTCCGAACTCATCGTAGATGTACTATTTCACCTTATTATAAACTCTCTGCTGCCAGGTGTCCTCTGTCTCTCTGCGTTTTGAGAGAGAGAGAGAGAGAGATCTAGAGAGAGAGAGAGAGATTTACATGTGTGAGGGATTACTTGGAGTTGGAGCCCTTTAATACAAGTTAGATTCTGTGTTCTCTCCAAATTTGCCTTTACGTAAAAATTGCAGATTCTATTTCATATTTTCTCTCTTCATGGATCGAAAAGGTTAAGATGCATAATCACTGAAATAAGCACTAAAAAACACATCAGAAACAACAAATGAACAACACAAAATTTGTGTGGCACAACACTAATATCAAGATATAACGTTTTATTATACAAAAAATATGAAATTATTGCAATATGAATAGTGATAACTCAATAAAATATATACTGTTGGTAATTTGCAGCGAAATTTTATTGATATTATTAAATATTTTCAAATCGTTACCGAACAAAATTGCAATGTAATGGCGAAATGAAATCAAACATTTAGTCACTATTAGAAAATAAAATCAGTCTGAACTGATTTTATTTGGTTTGACTCGGTTGAGAATATGTAGGTTATATAAATTATTTATATTTAAATTAAAATAAACAATTTTTTTTTTTGCTCATATCATCTTGAATTATCTCTGCAATCCTCGTAATCGCCTTATTTTACATCCTCTCTTTTGATATTCATATCTAATTCTACATTAGAGAAATGCGAAAATTTCATCCACCGCGTAGGTAGAGTTTTTATATTAAATATTACTTTTAATTTACAAATATTAGCAACGATGTCACCTCTCGATGCTACACCCAATCGCTAGAGTGAAGGGGGCCGCCTAAGTGTGCATGATGAGCTACCCACGTGGAGACGAAGATTATCAAATAATTATCTTTAAATATTTATTTTATTTTGAACTTTTATAAAGTAAATATTTTAAAAAAAAATCAAAATTCGACATTAGTCTTCCGTGTTGTAACTGAGTTTGTCTCAGGAAACAAGATCAAGAATCAGAAAGAAAGTTCCTGAGAGGATACGTAGGGGTGTATGTATATATATGTCTTGTATGATCTCGCGCGTGTGTTTATATTTCCCCAGCTTGTCCATTACCCCAAATGAACCTCATAATTTGAATTCACGTACGGACAGTCCATTTAATTAATATATATATACATATATATACATATTTAATGCATGTATATAAAGTCATACACGCGTGACATATATATGTGGACATGCATATAAAACAGTGCGTATAAAGCGGAACATGGGAGGTAGAACACTGTATGTATCTGTATGAGAGAAAAAAAAAAAGATTTATTTTATTTTATTTTATTTGTGAATTCGACGTACCAGGCCACGGAAAACGAAGTTCATTGGACATACATATTTTGCTACGAAAAACTGTCCCTATAGTTAAGGTGACGGTGAATCGGCCCGTAATTTGATCGTTGAGTTTATGATTTAATTTGGATTTTTATTGGATTTTTTTTAAGCTATATTTTTTTATTAAATAGAAGTTTAAAAAACTATATTATCTATATAAATTTACTGAATTATTAATAATAAAATGAAGCCATTGTCTTACGATTTGATAATAATCTCAAAACATTTCTATCAATTGAGATTCTATTAAGTTTGGGCTACTGATGTTGATCAACGACGAGTACGATGGCAAATGATGGGTCGAATTCTCCATTAATATTATTTTGAGTTAAAAAAAATAAAAAAGAAAATTTTTGATTTTATAT